GTAAGTTAATTTTCTGAATCAAGCATATTGTATCATCAATAGGTTGAAATATGAACACTGTCCTCAAACATTCAGTTCAAAAGCCTGAAAGATTCTTAGATCTAGGTAGCTGAAAAGTGCTAAAATCAATCACATTAGGGGAAACACTGTTGTCTTCATTTAATTCATTTAGCAGCATTTACAGTAAGAAGCACACATATGACTAATATAACTTGAAAAAATTTTATACTAAGGGGTTGGTGGTAACTCCTGAGGATTTAATGCATTAATAAAAATCAACTCATCATTTTCTACTTACTTGTTTTCAGTGTGTTCGAAATTACAAAATGATACTGTAGATATTGCCCCCTGCTTTGAAAACTGAGTGTCAGGGCTGAATGAACCAAAGCCTCTGGAAGTATCTGCATGGAGGCCAAGGTACTCTATTAATTCTAATGGCTACTTACTCATCACCATCTTTTCCTTATGCTGTGTATGGTTATGGCCTACAATGTTGTATTTGTTATTTATCAAGTTGTGATTGTTTTATTATTGTTTATGCCAAATGTTAATTGCCAAGCTTGGAGTGAGCTAAAGCATTTTTTAAAAGCATGACTAGATTTACTTTGGGATAAATTATCTTATCCAAATCTGAAAAGCTACAAGTGTTGATTGTTATAAAATATTGATAACATGCTGCCATTCTTGATTGCTGGAGCTTTTGTTAGCACTTCAGATGCAACTGAAACTATGCTCTATTACATGTGAAAAGCTTAATAAATTGTGTATATCAGTAGTATAGGTCTCAATATTTATTATGAGACCAGTGGTCTGGAAACAGCTTGTTGTGTTACATAATCAACCGGTATCTATGCTTTAAAAAAAAAAAAGGCCATTTTTTACCATCTGCTTTAAATCACTGCTTCATGGTATCAGACTACCATAAATTATTTACTTGAAAAGGCTTTAAGGCAAAGGTTGTTGAAGGATTGTCCTAGAGGAGTCGACATGTAGAAATTTGTCTTTTTATAGCAATATTGTGGTTACTCAACATAGGTGTTAAATTATTTTTTCAACCAATTAGTCTTTCAGTTGTTTTTATCACATCTTCTTTTCATCACATTGTTTCTTGGATGTCCAGCCCTATCATCTTTTTAACAAAGCAAAATGGAGAAGATGGCAATTTCTTTAGTTAAGTGAAATATCCTCAAGTCTCCTTACTTTATGAGAGAAATGATAGAACTAGGGTTGGAAGGTGGGATGGGTGTATGTGGGTATTGGTGATGGTTGTAAAAGAATAAATTGGAGAATCACTTTTCTAGACATCTACCTACACTTAATTTAGAAATGAGTTAATCTATTGCAGAGTACTCTGCCTCTTAAAAGCAACCAAACAGTAGAGGGAGGATAAATTTAGAAAAATAAACATCGTCTTAGAAATATTATTCCAAGTAGTCTTTGTGGAAGATTCACTATTATGAATTCACAGATATTTAAGCAATTTAGAACACAGTAATGGCTAAGAACAGCAGAGAGGGGTCCCGGTCATTCTACTGTGTTTTGTGTTTGACACTGGAAAAACATAGCAACAAGAGTGAAATCTCAGATATTTAAGGATTCAAGAAGTGTGAAAGAAGAAAGTAATTCCTGAAATTATCCCCTTCTTACAAAGAAACTCCTTAATTTATGGAGTTTGTGGGAAATAAAGCAAGAATTCTCACACCTATGAGGCCAAAGTAATCAATGGAAGAGAGGAGAAACCACTGGATTATGCTAGTAGTAACTGAAACTACTGAAATAGAGAAAAAACATGTTGAATTTGGACTCACTACTTCTGGATCTGTTAAGGAAAAGATACTACTGTCTATTTTTTTTTTTTTTTGTATAGTATTTGAAAACAATAAAAATTCTATAATTTGGGCATGGGTTCTTTTGTATTACCTATCTGCTGAGGAAAGGGGGTAAATCCATTAATTATACAGCTTCTCTCCAGACCCTTCATATCCTGGGTATCGAAAGAACCAGGAGCAGCTGTATGGACTCAGTGTATCAAACAAAAACGCTACATGCTGACTACAAAAAGACATTTGTAAGTGACAATTTGCTGTATTTGTGCCAGAGAGGCTGCATAAGGCCCTATATCAGGATCGCATGTGTTTCTTTATAGCTCTTAAGACCCAGATGAAAAATCAGATTTTTGCCCATAATGAGGAGACGTTTGGCCATTAGTGACTGTCCCATCGTAACTGGATTAATTATAGAGGCCATATTGGTTTACAGTTAATAATAAAGCATTATCACTTTTAAGTAAACCTACAATCCATAGATTTCAATTTCCACGTTCTGATTGTGAAATAAAAATGAACCAAAATCTAAATGAGCCAAAAGAACTCACTTTTAGTTTGTGAGCCCTGAGAGGGCAGGGCCTGCATGTGCCTCTCACCTGCCAGGATTTTACTTAAATAAAACGCTACTTGGTGACTTTCACTTTAACACGCTTCATCTCAATGTGCTTTCAAGTTTTCCCCTTGGTTTCTAGAATTAATTCTTTTCTCATTTTCCAGTTTGACTATTCTCTGGTATTCTCTTCTTCCAACTCCTTAAATGTTATTGCCTATCTCTAGTCGTCATCTACACAATCTCCTTAATGATTGTATTCATCTCTATGGTTGAAACGACTGTCTTTACAGTAATACTCATATCTTTCTGGTGTATCACTAGCCCTATCTTTATTCCAGGTTTTCATGCATGTTTGAGAGGCATGAGCTTCTAAATCACCTTCTGGTCACCTCCACCTAGCCACTAATAGCCACTACTTATTGAGCTTTTAGTGGGTATTGGGCATTTCACACCCATTTCCTTTAATTCCTCACGCAAGGATGTGGTGCTGTCACCATTTGATAGATGAAACCACAGCCAGTAGACATGGAGCCAGAACTTGAATTACTTTTTTATTCACTTGTCATCTGCTATTACTAATATTTTTTAAAAACATACTAACAATTTGAAAGCTATATGGCAAGAAAGAAGCTTGTGTTTTTAATAAATCAAGAAGGAAAGTGTTCAAGGAATAGAGCAGTTTCAGAAGTGCCATGATGTTGAAATACTGCCATTAGGGTTGTTTTTACAATTGGCACTGATACAGGCAAGGACAGTGCGCAGATTCACTCAGTCCTTTACCCTCTCTCTCATTTGATGCTTCCGATGCTCTACCAAAGGCAGAGAACTAGGCATACTTGAAGTCAGTTGATGCAAACTTACTCTTATCCAGTAAAAACATCAGGATTTGTCTCCAAATGCATTATCACAGTACTGAAGGAATTTATCATCTGGCTGAGGTAGGACACGAAGATAATACATCTACTGAATTTTAGAGCTGGGATATTAGTAATCCCATTTGTTCTGTAGGTGCTGAATTTAGTTAAGTTTACAAAACACTTCCTTAAATTTAAGACAGAGGCTAATAACTTGGTTTTACGTGAGGAAACCAAATCAGCAACATTAAATTGGCTTGCCTGCGATCAGGACGGGAGGTCGAACTAGAACTAAGAACACTAGTCAACACTCTTTACAATTTACCACACTTTTTCCTGAAGGGAAACAGAAGTAGCAAGAGCCATAAAAAGTAATGCAAAAACATCTTCGGCAAGACTGCATTAATGGTCAAGGGAAAGAAACGGTTTATGTACCAAACGGGAGAACTCACCTGGAGTAGAATTTAACTTAAACTCTCCACCGAATTTAAGGACTGCCGAACAGGTGGCTAGTAATAAGTTGTGTGTGATTCATACAGTCATGCACCATTCTAAGGTTACTGCACTTCTAGGGTTCTGTCTGCTGTCTACGCAGTTGATGAGAACATCAGAGTTTTAAAATCCACAGTCAAAAGCATTATTGGGAATTCCCTGGTGGTCCAGTGGTTAGGACTCTTGTGCTTTCACTGCTGAGGGCATGGGTTCAATCCCTGCTCGGGGAACTAAGATCCCGCAAGCTGCGCAGCGCAGCCAAAAAAGTCTCAGTCAAAAGCATTATTAAAATAGGGGCTGTGGTCATACATAAAAATTCCTTCTGTCCAAGTGCTTGTAAATGAGGTGGAAAAGTGCTTGCTACCTCCCTCCAGATAACTGCGCATTAATATAAAAATGCTGGGTAGAAGCTGGGTGGACAGCTTAATTCATAAACATGTCAAGCATGGAGTTAGGCTCGGTTTTGAAGAAGGTGGGCAAATTCTGGCAATTAACATGGGGCGGGTAGGGAGAAAAGCATAAGTGAGGGTGGGCCTCTGGTGGTGTATGTTTTGGCATTACGAAATTCCTTAATTCCCTAGGAGAAGGGATTGTAGCTAAGAGGTGACCAAAAATGTCTCAAGTTAATATTTTTGTAACGAAACTTAGATCCGGGATTTCACAAATGTTTGAGCCCTACCATGTGCCCGCTGTCAGGTATTCAACAGCAAAATGCCTGCCCTCAGAGTTTACAAATCGAGAGAGCAGACGCTAAACAAAAGTACTACTAAGTAAACTACGTGGCATATTGTCTGGGATTCCAATTCTAAATAAGACAGTCAAGGAGAACCTCGCATTTGAGCAAAGACCTGAAGATTGGTGGCGACCAGAGAGAGCCTTGGGGCCATCTGGGGCAGACATGCAGGCGGCGGGGCCAGCAAGAGTCGCATTAGAGCGGTGGCGACCAGAGAGAGCCTTGGGGCCATCTGGGGCAGACATGCAGGCGGCGGGGCCAGCAAGAGTCGCATTACCAGAATTTACAGCAGTACAGGCCCAAAGGGCACCCGCGAGGGCGAAATTGCTCCGAGTCAAAACCCTTTCCATGCAAAACTTAGCGGGTCGCTACTAGTAGGGGCCTTGGGCCACCAAGGATTTAGTCCCCCTATTTTACCTTAAGTCTCTCTCACACCACCCGTCTCCCTTACACCGATTAGGCCACGCCCACCGGTCCACAGTGCTCCGCAAGTGGGCGGACCTCTCATTGCCCCGCCCCGTGACCTGCACGTTCGCGGAGAAGTCAAAGGTCAGAGGTTGTGGAGCCGTCATGGCGGCGCTGTGCCGGACCCGTGCCGTGACTGCCGACTGTCATTTTCTGCGAGTGCTTCTCTTCTTTCGGCCCTGTCGAGACGCAGGCACTGAAAGTGGCTCCGGAAGCGAGAGTTCTGATGCCACGGAGCCTAGGCCGCGCCTAGGCGGCTTCGCGAGCTCTTTGAAGCGGCACTCAGAGCTGCAGCGGAAGGCGGAGCTCGGGCGGATGAGAGTGAGTTGTGGGAGCTAAGCCAGCGACGCGTTGGCGGGCGGGGCCCGCCGTTGTGGGTGGAGCCGGGAGCCGGGGCGGAGCCCGGCGTAGGGGCTGGGGCCCGCCGGGGGG